AAGCGCTCTGGGAAGGACTCTGGGAAGAGAGCCCCAGAGAAGTGGGATTCAAGGAAGCCAGAGGAGCAGGGAGGGAGGGATCTACCTGATGCAAAGAGGGCATCAGCTAGGCTTTGCTCTTGTCTACGCCACCCAGATTACCGGTCTGCCACCACTACCACCACCTGCTCACCCTCCAAGGATCTGCAGTCACAGGTTGGACAAGGAGTCTTCAAAAGTAAAGAAAGGCGGACCTAACAGAAGAGACCAGAGTTCCTGGCCTTAATATCCCCAATCCTGCTGTGCACACACGTCAATACACAGCTCCATTCCAAACATATACCAGAAGAGTAGGTGAGCATGACTGTTCACAAGACCATTTTTACTGCACATCTCGGCACACCTCTCTACTACTCACAAAGCATGCTGTCCATCCTTTTAATAACTCTTTACGACCCTTGTTTTCTTTTAATTCTCATGTTTAACCTCAGGTACTGATACCTGAAAACAGATCTCATTAATTTAATCTCTTACAATCTTGAATTCCTATTGCTACTGAAAACACCACCATTCTTACAGAGGCATATTTGATGAATTCCTCTCTGTTTACACTTCTGATGCTGTCGGGGCCTGGAGAACTCCGAAGTACCCCCTGAACTGATCTTCCTGTCCAGGGCTACAAAACCGACCCAGATCCCCACCAGCTATCTGTCCTCTTCCAATCCATCCTGCAGAAGAGAAGCAATACTGAACTTCCTGACGACATCCCACCGAAATCATACCCCACTTGTTTCCAGATCTTCCAACGGATTCCCAATAGTCTCCCAAATGAAACAGATCTGAAATAGACTCGGAGAGGAGGGGAACCTTCAGAAATCAATTCCTCCAGGAATTCTCTCAATCTAGGGGGAAAGAGTTGACTGCATCGGTGATTTAACAGTATCTCTGTGATTTGATTTGGTTTTGTTCCATGCTCCTGCGTGGTGCTTATGGGAATACAGCATATCTCTTAGGTGCCCCGGGAGTGAAAAACCACTGAGGATCACTGATTAGCCCAATTCTTACCCTACAGATGAGGGAGGGAGTACAAATACCGGGTTCTCTAGGTACTGCCCAACAACGGAGCTTTACACTTCATTTCCTATTCACATTCTCAGGCTCTTGCTAAACCAGTTACCTAAGGCTGCCCGCACTTTAAAATCAGCGCCTTGGTTCACGCTGCTCCCTCCCTCCCTCTGTCCATCCTCACTGTCCGTGTGGCCATCCAGGAAGCACATGCCCACACCAACTCTGCCCTCCTTTAAATCTCCACTGCACTTTGCACCTCACTTGTACCAATCAAGAATTACAAGTATACTGAAAAGGTATTTGGTTGACACTAGTGGGAATAAATATTGCCAAACCAGTAACAAACTGTGCTTCAGATAAATCTGCAGTTCATTCACAGCATCTTATGCCACCCACCACAACTGCCATCATCCTTAGAGGACACAAATCACTAGCTCTCCCAGGACAAAACCAGGGCTTTTGCTTTCGGAAGTCAGCAGAGGTTCCAAATTTCAAAATACCAGCTAGGTAGTCTCAGACATCTTATACAGGTTAAATGCAAGAACTATTCTGTTTCAAGTCTGATTTAACTTTTTCGAATTAGCAAATGCTTGACTTCAAGGTGCTGTCAGAACTTCACCAACGTTTATTCAAAACAGATTTTCTATATAACCCTTCTCAAGGTACTGGCCAAGTAGGTCATAAAAGCTACAGGCTGAAATAACTCTAAATTTTCACAATAAAAATAAAAGCCTTATTCAGTCAAATGCCTTGAATTTAAGCAAAACTAGATGATTCCAATTTTTGTATTAACAAGTTATCATCTAGCAGGGAGGGTATAGCTCAATGGCAGAGTGTGTGCTTAGCATGCATGAGGTTCTGGGTTCAATCCCCAATACCTTACTAGGTATTGCCCAACAACGGCAATTTATTTTAAGTAAGGTATTGGGGATTGAACCCAGAACCTCATGCATGCTAAGCACACACTCTGCCAATATATATATATTTTTAGACCTAATTATCTCTTCCCTCCCAAAAAAACCTTATCATCCCTATAGTCGGATTTGTCATGTAAGTACCTTACACACCCATTTAAACTTTTTATCCATAAAAGGAAAACATTTCACCTCTAGTGAATAAACTTTTTAAAATCTATGATTTTAAAAATTAAGCTGGTAACATCAACCAATGTCTTAGTATAAACAGGTATATTACCTACAAAGTACTCAACATATGAATAAATGAATGAGTTATTTCTTATACTAGATAGTTAATATGCTAGTACTTAAGCCAGCATTCTAGTTTACAAAATTTAATCAACTTATTCTAAATTACCAACAAAGTATACTTCTCTTTTAGCCCTGACAATAGAGCCGAATTCAAATCCACCATGAGCTCCTGGGATATCTTAAATCAGTCCTAAAATATTTTTCCTTCCAAAGCATGCACACATGTTTCCCTGACAGCCTTCTTCCCAGCCTTCACTGTCTAGGAGCACAGACAATAAAACTAATGAAACTCGTGCTCAGCCTAAACAACTCACTGGCACGTATTGTTATTCCAGGCAAGTGGACATATTCTAAAAGTTTACAACACAAAATGTATCATCTTTTTTACCATAAACTTGAGAAATAATGTTTCAAAAAGTAAAACAGCTAACAAGTTACCACCACCATGCAACGAAGAAAATGCCTAGCAAGCAATATGAAACAGCAGCTCAAAACACACTAACTCTGGGAAGGAAAAAAAAACAAAACCACCACCACACTAACCCTGGTGCTAAAGCCATTCACTGGTCAAACTGTCTATCAAAATCTCATTAGACCAATTTTTAGTTTCCAAAATCCAAAATACTCAGGAATTACGGCACCCATTGAAGAATTATCAAAACTTCATCTATTACAAGTTGTCACCTACTAACAATTATTTGTCCAATCAGCCTCTGATGAGCACCTGCTGTGTACAAGTCACTGTCCTAGAGGTGCAGGGAGTATAAAGTTCATATAAGGATATACAGTCTTTAGTCTCACATAGATAGGGCCAGCACACACAAGGTACACTACAAGTGTCATTAGGAAAAACAAAATGTCATGGAAGTCCATAAAGATATAAGTATCTTTTTAAAAAAGGAAACCTAACCAACAAATTGCAGTTCAACTCAGCATATACAAAGCTCTCAGTCCTAAATATTACTTGCTAGACCTCTGAAGAGGAGTTAAAGTTAGCTGAACCACCCTGCCAAAACGCCTTAGCTCTGTCTAATCTGAAAAAACTTTCTCTGATAGTGTAATTCACCTTCCATGGGTCTTTCAATTCTGAGCTCTTGGTAGAAAGGACCACACATGATTTTTATAAGGTAAAAACTGTTACTATAAAAGATGTACTAAAATTAATTTGACAAGAAATGAAAAGTGGTGTGTAGTCCCTTCCACATACAAGACATACACTTGACACTTGATTCATTCCCTTAATTCTCCTGCCAGCTTCCCCCCACCCCCACCGCAAAGACAGGAAGATACTCCTACTGTCAGGCAAAAGAAATTACCTTTTTCATTTGCTGTCAGGGCAACCTAAATGGGTTCATATCTGGTTTAATACTCATACTCCTCCAATGAGTATTTAAGCATTTATTTAAAAATGGGCACATTTAAATCTAACCACTTCTACTAACCTAGTCTCTTTTAAAACCAAAGTGACACATCTTAGTCACTTTTCAAAGATTGTATTTCCTCATAAACTTTACTTGGTAAAAGTAAATCTAGATTCTAATTTCATTAATCCAGATTAACAAAAATATAAAGGAAAAATCTTTTAAGTTATTGCTACAAGTTAAATTTTTTTTCACAATTTAGTAAGCCACAACTACATATTTAATAGAAAGCAGCAACTGTGTGTGTGTGTGTGTGTGTATTGTGTGTTTTAAATAAACAAAAAACATCTCAGCACCTGCCTAGAGAAACTTTCTGAGAAAATAGGCGAGGAGTCACCATGGAGAAATTCATTACAGATCCAGGGAGGACTACTATCTCAGAAACAGAATGAAAAGAAAAAGTCATTTTACAATAAATCTCCCTATACTTCTGCTGTGTGACTTGGAAGTTGGTCCAAAAGTTCATCTTCGGTAATTACAACTGCTTGATCAACTATCCGCCCCCTGCAACAGGTGACACGAAACTGTATTTCTCAGGCAAAGCAAAGGGATCAAATTAGTTAAGACGCATGTTCTTGCCGTCTCTTATTTTGCATTTTACCAAAATGATTTTGAATCAGATGAAATACCCAATCTGTTTTGGCTTTGGTTTTCTGCTTTGCTTTTTAATCAGCCATTTACCAGCAACTGTTGCACGAGCCCATTAGCACTCAAGAATAAAAACAAACACACAGGACCAGGTAAAGCTCCCCTACTAACCCAACTGATCCATTTCCTTAACACAGTTTTAAAACCACACTGCCAGGCGTGTGAAGAGAAGCATGTTTTGTGTGTGTTCGTATGCCACAATCTGTCTAAATCCTCGATTCCCTTTTAAGGAACAGATATAGAATAAAAATCTAAAAGAAACCACATTAGAAATGCAAAGAGGTTTGCAAAACAAGAGGCTTCTTTCATTCCAAAAAACCAAACCAAAACAAGGAGAGAAAAATGAATGCAATGGATATGTGTGTGCCAAAGTTTCAATCCTGCCCGGTGGAGACACTGCACTGGCACAAATTTTTAAGAGGAAAAAAGAGGGGGTTGGGGGGAGAGAAAGAGAGAGAGCGAGTGTGTGGCCTGCGAACTGCAACAATGCAATCTCCATTTTGAACAATGCGCCTCTTTCCTCTTGTAAATCTAGTTTTTTGCCACTTGCTGTGCCGTCGCATTTCCCCTCTGTTTGGGGGGGAGGTGGGGTGGGGGGAGACAGAGAGAGAGTGAGCAAGGGGGGATGGGGGAGGAGGTGGGGAAGGAGTCTGCAGCAACTGGGCTGGGTGGGTACCTGGAGTGCTGCTATAGGTGCTATGGCTCCTGAAGCTGCTTTCCGTGCAATAACTGGCGTCGTCGTCGTCGTCTTCCATCTCCTCCGGATAATCGGAGTCATCGTCGTCCTCCTCCATCTCATCTTCCTCGTCCTCCTCGGAATCCTGGGTCTCCTCGGCGTCGCCGTCCTCCTCCTCCT